AGCTTTCTTTTAAGTATCCATATGTCTTGAATCTTAGTGAATACTGGTTTTAGTTTTTTCAACAACTTTTTTTTTCATTAGCTTCATGTATGCCTCGTTATGATCAAAATCTAATATCTTTCTCAGTTCATTTTCAAAGTTTTAATCTTATTTTGGAAACACTTTCGAGTTCCCAAAAAAAACTCTTCTTCTCGTTTCACTCAGAATAGCACACAAACCAACAAAGTATACTGTAAACAATTTTTGTTGGTTTAGTTCAACATAAACATGTTCTTCATTTTGGTTATAAGAAAAAGAAAAAACATGTTCTTCATTTTTTGTACGTCTTATGTATTACGTATTAAAGCAAATTCTTATTGTTTTACGTTTCAATACATTTTCTCTTGTTTCGAGTCTGGAGACTTGGAAAGCTATAAGCCCACATCACTACTAAGACGCATGGATTTGTGGATAACATGGCTCATAAAGCCCAATAATTAGAAGTCATGTTGCAAAATTTCCATTATCTATAAATAGTAATGCTAATTTGTTTTTATATAATTCCTCATAAAATTTCTTGCAAAAATTATATATCTTGAATCCCCCCCCCCCAAGGATTATTGTATTTGATAGTCAAGATATACTTACTTATGTTCACTACAAATTTGGAAAATGTAGCGTATGTAATTTGTTTTCTTTCGTTGTATGGTTATTACAAAATAAGAAAATGTGAAAAGACAAAAAGAAACAAATTCTACAAAAAGAAACATCTAATTAAAACATTCGGTGGAACGATTGGCGTGAGAACTGGGTGGAAATTACAAACTGACACACCGAACTTAAACTTTTGCACCGACCAAAACCTTCCCTTCGTCCCAGTCTCCCAGACTTTACAAACAAAAAATCAGTCCTATTTAATTTTCACATTTTTAAACTTTTATGACAAGTACTGACCAGAACATTGGTATTGTTATACTCATCAATATTGTTATTCAAATTCAAATTCGCAAAATACATATTACTAATAAATAAAAAGTTATAATGTTTTTATATTACATCTTCTCAATTTTTAGAAAAATTACTACCTATATTTCATAAATAATGTTCTTCAGGTTTAAAATCGAAAGGA